AACTGTGAACATCGAACAAAAACTGCGCGAGAGTGACAATTAATTATGGAGTTTCTTGAAACTAAAAGAGGTCGTCCAAAACTCACCTACATAGGTTATAATTATAACCATTTAAGAAGTAATAAGGATGGGTCTATAATAACCTGGAGATGTACATGCCGAAAGTATTGTTATTTAGCTTCTTGCCAATCAACAGTTATACGGCAAACAGAGCACAATTTCATTCCAAATCAGGCTAGTGTGGAAGTAGAGAAGGCGTTAATGATATGCAGAAAACGAGCTAGAGAGGAACTGACCCCAATTCCTCAAATCTTTAATCAATCTTTGGCTACTGTTAAGGACGCTGGCTTAGATTTTGTGACTGAAGTTCCGTCATTTCTTTCCAAGAAAAGTGCTCTCTACAAAGAACGACGAAAGTCAATTGGAGCTGTGAGTTTCAAAAAATCTTCAGATATAATTCTACCTCATAATCTTGCGGATAGTTTCGTAGTAGTTGATGATTTAACGGATAATGACAGGATTCTTGCTTTTGCCAACAAAAAAGGAATAAGCAGTATTGTTCAAAGCACCACGTTTTTCGGAGATGGAACTTTCAAAAGTTGTTGTAAGCAATTTTACCAAGTTTATACAATTCATGCTGACATAGGCAGTACACACGAAGCTACATCCATAGCGCCTGTTTTCTATTCTTTACTGCCGAATAAAAAAGAGTCCACATACAAACGACTATTTAGATTAATAAAAAGAGAAATTCCTGAATGGAATCCGATTTACTTCAAAATTGATTTTGAAATTCCAGTATTAAATGCTTTTCGCGAAGTGTTTCCTGATGCCAGATTGAATGGTTGTAACTTTCACTTTAATCAATGTCTTTGGAGGAAAGTTAAATCACTGTGATTGTCAAAGGAGTATGTAGAAAACGTTGACGTAAAGGAACATATAAGGAAATGTGCAGCATTGGCCCATCTGCCTCCCACTGCAGTCGACGATGGATGGCTATATATTATGGAGGAATCCCCGCAGTTAAGTACTATTGAAGAATTTAACATTTATTTTGTCAAGCAATGGTTAGCAAATGATATAATAGGTGATATGTGGTCGTGTTTTAATGAAAGACATCGTACTACCAATGCTTTGGAAGGTTGGCATAATCGTCTTAATCGTGCAGTTGGAAAATACAGTCCGAACATCTGTGAAGTAGTGTACCATTTAAAAAATGATAGTCAGTATTATGGTTTTATTATTGATCACGTAAATTTTAATATAACCCCAAAAAAAGAGATCCAAACATAATATTAATATTGATTTTATAATTAAAAGCACTGTTGATAAACTTTTAAATAATGAAATTAATATTTCTGAATGCATAAATAAACTTAAATATGTTGTTAAATTAAATAAGATTTATTATTTGTATAAATGTCAAATGTAAATAAAGGTAAATTTGAAACAATTTTCTTTCTTTTTTTTTCTTCTGATATTGTCGAAGGTAAAAGTTCATTTTTCAATGTAGACAGGTAAACAAAATAACATGCATGGCGAAAGAGCACTTGTTAGAAAATATGCAAATTATGCGTGGCGAAACAGCACTTTTTTATTGCCGTGGCAAAACGACACGTGGCGAATGTGGAACAATCCAAAAATAAATGCACCAATCGAAAGAGGAGGCAAAAATAGTTTGGAAATTCATTGCACAGGTAGTTTTAATGGCGAATTTTTCGCCGCCAGAAGTGCTTTTACCAAAAAGTTGTTTTTTCGTTTCTTTGATCAGAACCATAGATATGAAATTTGCGATGAATTTGTGGCGAAATTATAAATGTTAGACATATGTAGTTGAGTAGAGTAGTTGCGTATTTTTTTATTGGCTCTCAAATAAAATAAGTCTCGCGGCGGAATCTGCCATAATTTATGGGGAAGGAAACCGGAGGGCGTAGTTTTTTTTCCATATTATTTTCTTCGGGTTTTCCGAAAACATCTAACAAAAAAATATATTCGAAAAAACTAACTTCGGCATCGAAAAGAGCACAAAAAAAATACACAAAAAGGTATACTTTAAAAATCTTAGGAAATTAATCCTAAGCCTAAGTGTAAGTTCCAACTTGGTAATAAGCTAGTTTTTTGTTCTCTAACATCTGGTTTTTAGTTATTTACAAGAAAACTTGAAATGGGAGAAGATATACAGGGTGTTAGTAAATAAATGCGACAAACTTCAGGGGGTGATTCAGCATGAAAAATAATGACAGTTTGCTATATAAACGTATGTCTGAAAATGCTTCGTTTTCTTAAAAACTGACGATTTGTTTATTGCTCTGAAACCGCTCAAGATATGCACCATACGAAAATATTTTTTGTCACAGATTGAACGAGGAACTTAAAAGTGATTTTTAATTTGAAATATCTCAGTGGCGTACCATTTTTTTCTTTAAAATAATTGAGAAAATTAACTGTATGCGCGCCAATGATGAATATAAAGTTCTTAAATTCATGTCAAAAAATGCGCAATAACAACGTCTTAAAGCCCACCAAATTTTATTTGCATATCTTGACGGGATTCAAAGCAATAAGTAAATCATTAGTTTTTAAGAAAAACTTTAATTCGGAAAACAAAGCATTTTCAGAAATACGTTTATATAGCAAATTGTCATTATTTTTTCATGCAGAACCACCCCTCGAAGTTTGTCGCACTTATTTAATAACACCCTATATATGCATGACAAAAATACGTATTTTCTAGTTACGTTCCAAATGAGACGGGTTGGGTGGCGAAATCTGCAATACTTTTTGAAAAAATTTCAAAACAATTTTATAATTATGTGAATAGAAAACTGTTTCCATCAGATGAAAGAGAAAAACTGTGGCATATACATTTTTTCTAGCATCCACTGTTGTCTGAGCGCACGTGTGCAAAGATCGGTAATTCTCGCGAGAATTGAAGCTACTCGAATTTTCTCGAAAAAAGGGGCGTTTTATGGCAATTGGGAGAGAAAGTAAGCTTGTTTCTCATTAAATTTACTGATTCTTATATATTTTCAGTCTGTAAAGTGCCCAAATTACGGAAAAAATCGACAGTGTGCCTGTTTTTTCTCGAAAGAAAAAGGGAAAATGTTGGATTTAAGAGAAAACCACTCGTTTTACGAGCAATTTTCTAAGCACAAAAAATGCGTAGTTTTCGGTTATATTTCGAATGTCATAGGTCGCATTGTAAATCTGCAATAGTTCGTGAAAACGTGGCCAATTTTTTGAAATGTTTTCCCAATTTTTTCTCTTTCTTTGAATGAATCGTCAAGTCGTTTTTCGACTGAACTAACTTTCTCACCATTTAAAAGAACACAGTGATATAATTTTCTTAATTTAGGAACGTTCTTACTCAATAAATTGCTGAAGAAGTACACAGAGCTTGCTGAATACAGTTATTAAAAATCTATGCCGATAAACACTATCAAGCGATTTAATTTGTAATAATATGACCGTTTGAAGTTTAAACTTGTTGGATAGCAAACGCCGAGACCATGGCTATCCTTGATGCGACGTGCGGCTAATTTTGAGATAATTCTATATTTTCCACAAAACTTAAGAAACGTCTTATAACAAGTCAGTAAAATACAATTTAATAAATTTTAAGCCTAATAAATTTAGGTATGTAAGAAATTTAAAACTGGAAATCGCAAAAATATCAAATTACAGAAATGCAGTGTATACTAGAGTTTTGGATCCCGCGGAGCGCGTGTAATGGGACTTTTGTCGGAAAAATTCTACAACTTAGAAGAAACAAACACACTTTAAACTTTGTGTACACATTCAGAAGACATATAATTTGGGTTTGTTTAATTTTCAGACCAAAAAACTGAAAATCGTCAATTTTAGGCAACTTTTCTCAAAAACCGTGTTTTTTGGTCGTCACTCAATGAACAGTGTTCAAAAAAATAGATAAAATATTTGTGTAGAATTTTCCGTAATGTAATCGTATTCTAGACACAATAATGTATTAAAAAAAAAAAGTTTTGAGCCATTGGGAGCATTTTTGGCATTTTTGTGCCACTTCAAATTTATTATTTTTTTTTTAGGGAAAAAAATTTGTTTAATTGTTTTATATCTTGGCCAATTATAGTCTGATTTTGGTGAAATTCACACACACATAAGATTTTACATTCAAGAGTAAGGTCTGTAAGTGGCATTAAAAAAATTAAAACAGTTTGGCCGTTATAGACAAACAATGAAATTAGGCCCGCGGTGCATTTTGCCCTTCCGCCATATGCCCAATTTTGGGATTTATCTTGCCCCCTTCTGGGAATCACTAGTCACATTCCTTAATTTCAAAACGCATTTTTGTTTTTTCAAATATCTTAATTTTTACCAAAGTTATAAAGAATTTAGTGTTTGTACATTTAACAAATTCAATTTTTCGAGCTTCGCCGCCTCAAAATACTAAACAAATTTCAATCGTCCATACCGCGAGAACGGTGCATCGGATCAAAATTTTTGAAGAAACATGAAAATTAGCTTTCAAATGTCGTGAACTGCGTTTTGAAAATATTGATTTATTTCCGACATGCGCCTGCGCAAAATTGAAAAATTGACAAAATCCAAAATTTTGGCATTTCGGAAAATAGCATTTTGTTTTGCCTTTTTTCGAAAAAATCACCTTAAAATACATAGAATCCATTTTGTTTCATCTAATTACAATTTAATGTAACCTCAACCCGTAATTTATTTCGATTATTATTAAATATATTTATGTTTTGGCTGTTTTTCTAGACATTTAACAAAGACAAACCTGAATATAAATTGCAACCCAAGGAATTTGTTAATTGATTAAAAAATTAAATAACCATTAACCATTTAATATGAGTAATTAATTACTTATCTTTGCAAAAGTAAAATTCAGTGCATTAAATTATCAGGAGCACAGGCTGTATACAAATTTTCTATTTTAAAGATATTTCACTTGGTTTGTTTGTTATTGAATTACTATAAAATATTTCCTTTCTATATTTTTTTAGGTAACTGACGCTGTATTGAATCCAGATATTGCACAGTATCAACAGTTCAGGCAAGAATGCATATCTTCCACCAATACAGATCCAAAGGAAATTGCCAAAGCCTATCAAGGCGGGCCATTAAAAATTGAAGTATTAGGTGCTTACTTGCTTTGCATGAACAAGAAATATAACATTCGTAATGCGAACGGAGATATTGATCAAGAAAATTTAAGAAAAAGCTTACGTGTATTCAACTCATCTGAGGACAAAACTGACATAGTTGTCACAAACTGTTCAGTCAAGAAAGAAGGAGCCACACCCCAAGAAGTAGCTGTGGAATTTGCAAAATGTATTCGAAAATACGTCCCAACAGAAGCTCCAAAGGCTGACGCTGTTTAAAAATAATATTTAATTTTGTTACTTATATAAAAAAATTAAAAAATTTATCATAAGAATTATTTTATTGAAAATAACGTTAACGGAGAACTGAAACTTACAAAACATCATGCAAGTAAAATAATATTTTTTCTATTCCTATACTACAATTTGTTAATTAGATGCTAATTCTCAGTTTATTAATGATACTCATTATAACACTGGCGAGAAAAATAGAGTTACTCTCACTTGGGTCCCGGGATATAACGGGGTACAGGGTAACGAGATTGCAGATAATCTTGCAAGGAAATGGACTCAAACACCCTTTGTAGGACTTGAGCAGTTTTGCGGTATCAGCAGTAACATAATATTAGGAGAGATTAAAAAAAATTGGGCAGCAGAAGAACCGATAATTGGAACAATCTCTTGGGGCTGAGACAGGCCAAGATACTTCTGGGTAAATATAACCAGAAAAGATCGGAAGCCTGCATCTACCTGAGCAAGAACAGGCTACGTATTGTAACAGGGATCCTTACCGGGCATTGCCGACTAAAAGGACACCTAAGTAAACTGAGAGTAATAGAGGTTAGTGAGTGCAGATTCAGTGAGGAGGAGGAGGACGAAACCTCCATTCACAACTGAATGTGTAGCACTCCAGAATCCAAGGGCACCATATCTAGGAGGATATCAAATAGAAGAGGGAGATTTACCCAACTTGTAAAAATTAATGTATGTAAAAATTTAGTTTTAGAGAACAAAATAGTGGTTTCTGCAATTTTAGTACAACAAATTAGCATTTCAGAAACAGCAATATAATATCAATAAAATTTGTTAGTTCGGTAAGAACACTGCACTATTATACAATACAGCTCCACAACTCCGTGTCGGCGCCTTTGATTTGGCGATCGAGAACCAAGCAAGACGGAATGGTGCTATCTCTGTTAGATTCGACAGAAAAGTCGGGCCCGGATTAAAAAATATTTGTATTATTGAAATAATTGAAGACCTTGGCGTAATAAGGTTGGTTACATGCCACATTAAGTAAGTTTTAAGAAATTAAGTTTTAAATATTGTGATGTTTGTTTATTTTCAAACAACAGTTTATTTATTAATAATTTATTTAAACACTTATTTATTTTATAACACAATTATTCTAATTTATATATACTTCGAATGTCTTTAAATTGATCACTATTTATATTCACCACTGTCTATCTACTAATTACTATTTATCTTCACTGTTCATATAATACTGATTCTGATGGCTCTCCTCCACCAATTTATATACAAATTGGTGGTCTAGAATGCTCCCCCACCAAAATTGCTAGTATGTACCAGAAACGTAATCACGTTCTAGAAATAGTATCTCGTTGACCCTGGAATGTTCGCGAAAGTGTCTCCACCATAGTCGTCCCATAGGTTTGGTCTAAAGGGGTTTAATTATGTCTAATAATCGGACAAGTTGAACCTCAAAGGCCAAATAAGACAGAGAGGGACTTGTAGGGTTAGAGCATGACTGAATAATGAAATGGCTCACATAACATTGCCCCCTCCTTAAGAGATAGTTCCTCCTAGAACTCTTACGAAACTAAACTGGAATGGTTGTATTTGCAACTGAATCCTCTTTTACAATTTCCAGTTGCATGGAAGTAACAAGGGACTGTCTTCGCTGTAACCTGGGCACTGGGCGAATGGCTGCAGACCAATATCTGAACTCCGGTATCTTGAAAGATTACTTCCACCATGTTCCTAATGATCCTCCAATCCAGCTGATTTCCTTCTATCTTCGGGCTAGTTTATGTACATTGGAATCCAGTACGTGCTCCCTTAGACTAAGTAATGCTCCCATACATCCTCCTATGTGGATCAATCTTGGAAGGTGTTCTTCGTTATTAAATAAAAAAGATACCGTGACCCGTCTTGAAGTTTCAAGGCTTTTCCAGGGGCTGGTAACTGACATTGAAGTTCTACCAGTCGACCAAACTTCGTACGGAACACATATGCCAGTCCTCGCGCGTCTTTGCTGCTGGCGGAAGTACTATGGACCAGCGAGTAGTTTTTCGGAAGCGAGAGCAGATCTTGTTGTTGCTCGGTCATAACATCATATCTAGCTTTTATAGTACCTCCATATGCACCCATAAATTCTTTAAAGACAAGGTCTGGTGTTTCTTGAAGTTGGTTTACTTCTTCTTCATGGTCACCCTCAAATGGCGCCAGCCTGTTTTGGTGCACTACCTTTGGTTTACCGTTTGGAATCTGACTTATACGGTAAATTACATCATTTATTTTATTCTTGATGAGGTACGGACCTTCCCAAGACCTTTGAAGCTTCGGAGAATAACCCTTTTGCCTTTTTGGGTTATGGAGCCAGACTTTGTCGCCTTCTTTAAAACATCCTTCTGTTGCTTGAGTATCGTATCGCTTCTTCATTCTGTCGCTGGCGATTTGAAGATGAGAGCGAACTAATTCATGCATGTCGTCCATTCTTCTTCGTAACTGGATCACATAATCTTCAGCAGCTACATCTTCTCCAGGTCGGCATCCAAACTCGAGGTCGCATGGTAGTCTCATCTCACGCCCAAACAAGACCTTTACTGGTGTTTTGCCTGTTGATTCATTGACAGCGGATCTATAAGCCATTGCAAAGAGTGAAAGATACTGATCCCAATCTCTCTGATGGTTTGAAACCACTTTTGACAGATATTTGCCAATGATCTCATTCATTCGCTCTACCATTCCTTTGGATTGTGGGTGCAATGCTGTGGTTCTGGTCTTCTTCATGCCTAGTCTGTCACAGATTCCACGGAAAAGTTGACTTTCAAAATTTCTGCCTTGATCACTGTGGATCTCCAAGGGCACTCCAAATCGACAAATAAACTCTTTTATCAATACATCTGCAATAGTTGCGGCCTCTTGATTTGGAATGGCATAGACATCCACCCACTTTGTAAAATAATCCATAACCACCAAAATGTATTTATTACCATCCTCGGTCGCGGGGAATGGTCCAGCAATATCTAAGGCAATCCTCTCAAATGGGCTACCAACGTTATATTGCTTCATGGAAACCTTCCTTTTTCGTTGAGGTCCATTACTCATAGCACAGGTGGTACATTTCTTACACCAGTCCTTTACATCATCGGAACTGTTCATCCAGTAAAACCTTTCCTAAACTCTCTAAAGGGTTTTCCTAACACCGAGATGTCCTCCTGATGGACTGTCGTATAACTGACGGAGTACTTCAGCTAATCTACTTCTTGGAATGACCAACTGTCTTCTGTTCTCGAAACCGTCATCATTTTTCAGTACTCGCTTTAAAAAGCCATCTTTTAGGATAAAGAAGTTCCACTGAGCCAAATAGGACTTAAGTACTGGAGAGAGATTAGATACTTCTTGCCAAGTAGGTCGACGATTTTCCTCTTTCCATTGTCGTATCTTCTTCAAAACGGTATCGTTCTCTTGTTCTTCACTAATTTTAGCAGGGGCCCACTCATCGTTGACTACAGTTGTTCTTAGTAGTCCACTTTCTTTGGATTCCGCTTTGTTGCAGTGGGAGCACTCTGCTGGACACGGTCTTCTAGAAAGAGAATCGGCATTTCTGTGGCTTATTCCGGCTCGATGTTCGATCTTAAAGTCGTACTCTTGAAGTCGTTCAATCCATTTAGCGATTTGACCCTCTGGGTTCTTAAATTGCATCAACCACTTAAGGGCTGCATGATCGGTCCGGATTAAAAATTTCCTTCCGTACAGAGATTGGTAGAAGTGTTCCACGCATTTCACAACTGCCAGGAGTTCACTTTTCGTCACGCAGTAATTCCGCTCAGGTTTCGAGAGCACTTTACTAAAATAACCTAGTACTCTTTCTTTCCCTTCCTGAATCTGTGAAAGCACTCCTCCAATTCCCACATTACTAGCATCAGTATCCAGGATAAATTCTCCCTCTGGTAGTGGGTAGCCTAGTATTGGTGCTGTTGTTAAATGGTTCTTCAATGTTTCAAAGGCAGTTTGGCAGTCCTCGTCCCAGCAGAATTCCCTCGCTTCTTCTGTGAGTCGCGTTAGTGGTTTAGCAATATCTGCAAACTTCTTTATAAATTTTCGGTAGTACGTACAAAGCCCAAGAAAACTTCTTATTTGGTGTTTGTCCTTTGGTTGTGGCCAGTGGCGGCTTGTGGTAATTTGAAATGGGTGTTCACTTTTTCCAATAATTTTATCATTTGTAAGTTCGGATCAAAACCTTGTACAAGAGTCAATATCACTCTTTTTTTATTATTTGAGTTTATATTAAGTGTAATTATTATTATCAACATCATACTGTTTTCAATCATTACAACTATTAATAAATGAATATTTTAGTTAGTGTAATATTTGTTTTGTTTTTAATACGTTGAAAACAATCTAAACATTATTAGTTAGTAAACTGACTTTTCCTCATAATTTGAGATTATTTTTAAATATATATCAGGTAATGTAGAAACTTTACATTAATTTTTGTGTAAAAAATTTTATATGAAACTTTACCTACCATTTTTTAGTTTTTATTGTAAGTTTAATCATTTTTACAATTTGTCAAAGATGTCAAATAAAAAATATATTTTTTAAATACCTTTTATTGGCAAATAAAATAAGAACTAAAATGTTTTAAATGTTTATTTTATAAGATCAGTCCAATCACAATACATATTACATAGACACAAACTAGAATAAAGATATATAATGCCTGGCATTCTTCGCAGTTTAACAGACCCCCTTAACCCCCATTTTGAACCAGATTGTTTTCACAATCAATAGGCCTCATCTGCTTTTAGAGATTGATGTTTGCTAAACATTTCAAGTTTATATCATTTTTCAGTTAGGATTTTTTTTAATTTCAACCCATCTTAACCCCCTATTTTTAATCAGATTTGTTTAAAATCAATAAGCTTTGTCCTCTTATATAGCTTGATTTTTGCTTAAAATTTTCAAGTTGATTTCATTTCTCGTTTTTGACTTATCGTGCAGACAAAAAACCTGACATCGGACAGACA